ACTGTTTTAGTATGGTAATACAAATACTTTTGGTAGATAATGTTTACTTTAGTTCGTCATGCCATCTCAAGCAATAAACAAACCCCCAACGAGCCTTTTTACTTGGAAATCGGGATCTTGACATGCAACAGTCTTTCTCATTGAAGATGAAGTAGAAAAGCTTATTAGTCCGATATAAAGCTTAATATTTTCTTCGATTAATTCAATATTTAGTAACATAAATTATAATTTTATAGTAGTTATTGAAAAAAATCCTTTACTTGCAAATATGTAGGATATAAACCTATCGAATTTTAAATAAATAAAAAATAATTATTCAAAATTATGATGATTAATATAATGATGGGTAATGATTACAAATTAATTGTGAAAGTATTAATATTAAAATTACCTACATTGACTTGTACCAACATAGTCTACACTTTGAAAGCTTATTTTAATAGGGCATAGCATTGTTAAAAAATTCTTCAATTCTTGATTTGCTCACTTGTTTTGTTACTGTTAGTGTTTTGTTACTGGTTGATGCTAAAAAAAAAAAAAAATCAATATATAATCATTCACTTTGGTAAATCCTCAACATTGATGATCTTACTGCCTTCAAACTTTTTTTTCAACTAAAATTATCATATTTTTCCTCTCTCTGTCGCTACCACTGAGCAGTGCGGGCATACCCTAATAGAGCTTGGACCAAGTGTCCTTCTCTTGTACCAGTTCCCTCCTCCTGTTCCAGTCCAGCGCTTCCTGAACGCCTCTCACATGAATTTCTCCCAGGTGATCCGTGGTCTTCCTCTTGCTTTTCTTCCGACTCGTGTCTCATATGTTGTCCTGGCTGATCCTTCCAAACTCATCCTTAAGAGGTACCCAAACCATTCTACTTTATTCTTTTCTATAGTAGTTTCTACCGGCTTTACCTCCGGGTTTGACCTTATGGTTGTGTTGCGGATTCTATCTCTGCTGGTCTTTCCTTCAATTTTTCATAGGTATCTCATTTTCATTGTCTGGATCCGCCCCTTGTGTAAAGGTCTATGACTAGGTGGAATAAAATAGGATGGGAAAAAACTTGACTTGTAGGCTGATAGCTTTGTCTGCTTCGCAGCCTCTCTTCCGTTGTGAAAATCTTTCCGTATTGAGTGGAAGAAAGAAATTAAATATACATATATATACCACAAGGGATTTATAAATTGCTAATCTATTATGCTTGATTTTTTCATAAAGAAAGAAACATAAAGAAAGAAATTATATATACATATATATAGCACAAGGGATTTATAAATTGCCAATCTATTATGCTTAATTTTTTCTTTAATAAAATAATTTGTTAGGACTAAGGACTAACTATTTGAAGATACATCTGATTTGTTTCTACACAATTAATATTATAACTAAAAAAAAGTCTCTCGAATTTCGAAAAATGAAATTTAAATCGTGGAAAAGTACTGATATAATTGAGTAACCATTTTTTAACTTTTTCACGACAGAGAAAATAAATAGGTTCTATCTTTTAAATAAATACCATATATACGATTTAGTTATTATTTATTTGAGGTTACCTAGGACTCCAGCTGGACAAACGTCTAACTTGGAATCCTCATACCAGACTGAAACGACAAGAAACAGCTCGACGTTTCCGACTACTTCAACACTTACTAGATAAACGCTCTAACCTTCCAATTAATTATAAAACACTCATTTACATAACTATAATAAGGCCTATTTGGACTTACGGAGGTGAGCTATGGGGCTCCTCCAAACCTTCAAATTCCTCTCGCATCCAATCCTTACAATTCAAAATCCTTCGTAAAATCCTCAATGCTCCTTACTTTGTTACAAATAAAATTATCCATAATGACCTTAATGTTCCTCATGTATCAGATTTGGCCCAATCCAGATACCTGTCCTTCCATAATAAACTTCATAACCACCCCAACCCTCTTGTTTCTAACCTTGCTTCCTATTCAATTCCTGATAACCCTCCGAGGAGTCTGAAAAGAAGATGGCCAAGTGATCTTCTAATATAGACATATTATTAGAGTGCTACCAATGGGTAGTTTCTCAACACATGTAATTATATCCATGTGAAAATTTACCAGATTTATTTTTTGTATACAGTTGTAAATATCATATAAATAAATAAATATAAAAAAAAAATTATCTGAGGGGGTGAGGTATCTTAGTGGTAATGAACTAATGCTCAAAGTCCCACGTTCGAATTCCGGCTTATGGCAGATAAATTATTTATTCTGTTTCATTTGCCGTGGATCAACCTTGGGGTCGGAGACCCTCCTAGGGCACACCTAGCCTCCATAAAGGGGTACGTTAATGAAATAATTGATTAAGGGAGGAAACCCTGGCGATTGATCGTAATCTCGGTCAAATCACCTCCTTGCACAATCGTTGATCAAGAAACAGTACCTATTGTATGGAACCCAAGGACCCTTCATGGATTGTAGTGGTACAGGTTTTTATTTTATTTACTTAATGTTTAAATGACCAAATATGATACAGTTTTAAATTGACTTGACGTTTTTATTATTGAATAGAAAAAAAAATAGGAGAAAATTTAATAATTTTTTCCCTGGTGATAAATGTAGGGTACGTGGACATTTGAAACAGTGCGTTGGAAGGTTATTTTTAACAGCGGGAAGGGCTGAAGCAGTTCCTGTGACATGGACATATTGACTTTACTTCTCTTCGCTCCGGAACGTGACTAGAAATTTTTCTCAGAACTCAATGACCTGAGTCTGTGCCAGTTGAACAGCTGCCCGCCTCCGCTAGCCATAACTTGTCAAATATTAAATAAAAGGTACAATTGCTGTTGACTTGGTTGTAAATATGAGCAAATGAAGAATATAAAAGAGAAGTTCATAAAGACTAGGATAAGTCTCTTCATTTATATGTTGATTTATAAATTTGTTAGTGGATGTATGGGGGACGGTTGTGACAGTCGTCATATTAATCATAGAGTCACCGAAACTCTAAGGATTTTCCGGTAGATTTCTATGAGTGTATTGCTAACGCATTGCGCGGGATTAACGCTAGTGAAGTCATTCATTACTTTTTAACTGACAAAAGTAACTATTTTTATTCTATTTCTTTGAATAATTGTTGTTATATATGTATATATTTTTTTTTCCGTTGGCATTACAAACCATGTAGATCTTTTGCCGCCTTAACAAGTCTGCTCCATCATTGCCTTCTATTGAGGCATTAATTGTTACATAGAGACTTCCAGATGGAGTCCTAGCAGCTACATGCCACTTAACCTCCTGGTCTTCATATCATGAGATATTGATTGACCATTTTCTGCAAGCAGTTCTTTATTGGTCTTTCTTCTCTATGTGCTAGAGACATAGAGACTCCGGTTATCGTGTGGAGGATCTGTTTGCACTAGTAATTCGTAGGTTTATTTTTGCCCATTGGTCATTTGGTTATTGTGGAGCCGAGGTATTTGATTTTTTTCTACTCTCGGGAATGATTTTCCTTCTACGCAGATCCTGTTATTGCGGTGGAATTTTCGGCTTATTATCATATTTTTTTTGTCTTCATTTACTTGTAGGCCGATCTGCTATGCCTCTCGTATCAGGGTTGTAGGGAGTTTCTCAACGTCTTCTTGATCGCTTCCAAGGACAGCTATATCATCTTTGATTTTCTTTTTGTTACCCAGAAAACGCTCAAAGAAGACCGAAAGTTTATTCTTACACAAATTTGTATGCTTTATTAATTCTAAGCGACTAAATTGTTCTATAATGTTATAATAATATAATAATAATGTTATAATAATACAATAAAATTGATTTTAGGCTATTTTGGTTTTATTTTTAACTTGTCACTTTCGGTCCCAAACTCTGTCCCAACCATCCTTGTGGTGGGGTGGGTTTTGACATTTTCCTTTAGTTTTCTAATTTGCTCCTAATGATAACCACTGTAATTACGTACAAAATATTAGTATTTACACCTAGTAAAGTGCACAATTTACTATAAAAAACATCTTTCTTTTATCTAATTGGTATACAAACAAAATTGGGTCAAATGAAAATTGTTACAACCGTGCCCGGTCTCCTCAATTCACTCAGACAAATTTATAAACTTATAGTTTCACTATTGGTAAAATAAAATTTATGAAATGAATATGATCTAAAAAAAAGAAAAGCGTATGTAATTAGCCACAACTAAAAATCCCAATTACACCCTTAGGAGGCTCAAAATAAGCTGGATGGGGGATCTTCTCACTTAAACATAAATACTAAAATCAAGATAGGAAGGGATGGCGCTGGGCACTCTCTCACACCTATCAATATCCAATTACTGTTCCTATTCTATTTGGATTTGCTGTTCTTTTCTGTCCCGATGAAAAGAACCTGAATTGGCAAAATGTTGGAGTTTTTTTTTTCTTTTCCTGCATTTTGGAGACATAAGGCTGTGTGATTTGGAATTTTTCCAATATTAACCTAACTTTTTTGTACTAAAAATATCAAAAACTTTCTATATTACCCGAAGTACCCCAGTATTCATAGAGTTATTCTCCGCTACTTACTTTCCAATAGATTTTTAGTTCGTCTAAGACTATCATAAATACCAATAATACGTTATTTTGAAAACCTAAAAATTGTGTTGAGTATTCATCCTGTTGCATCTTTTGACCATAATATCGAGGGGCTTTTAAATTTCTGGTTTTTAAAGCGTAGAGGCTGGTACAGTTTTTCCATAACTATACCAGTTATTGTTGTCCACGTCGTAATCTGAAAAACATGATTTATTTATTTATTATTCTGAATCTCTTAACCTACTTTTTTTATCAAGAATCTATATTGTAGTCATAGTAAGGTTTTACATTTTGTCATTGGGATTTGTCAATCCTTCATGGATTTCCCTTTCGTTAGATACCTCATTCATCAAAATTCATGGCCCTTAGGGCCGGAATAGATTTCTCTACCATCGTATTATATATATTGTAGATTAGTTAACTTATTAATAACTAACCAAATAAATTGATGTTGCAGGTGATGAAAGCCTGAGCATGCTGCTGCTAGCGCTGATGATCACCGCCGTGGTGGCGGACAATCCTCTCTGCCAGCCTCTTCTGGGAGCGGCCGATTCCATCTGGCGTCGCAACCAGACCCAAGAGCTCCACCTGGATATGATGGTTAGTGGAAAAACTGATAAATACCATTAATATTATTGAAAATAAACAGATAGTGTAAAAGAAACCGATAAAGAAGAAATGAGAAATGACCGGTTAACATTCACGATGTCAAAGGATTCTTCACTAATAATGCTTTAGAGATATTCAGTCTTATGTTTATTACGTTTCGGTACAAGTTAATACTCAAATTTTGCCGTTGGTTTCCATGATTGTGTGAGCAAAGACCCTAATAGTCCGGGAGTCCGTGGCAAAAAATGTGACTAATTTAATACTAAGGCTTGTTCATATAAATTGACAATGTCTACAGGCCTGATGAGGAAAATGCACATCCTTCAGCGTATAGCAGCTGGAATACAAAGTGGCCGCCAGATAAAGATAGATAAAGAGACCTTATATAGATAGAAAACTTATATAGGAAAAGGGCCGTAAATATAGATATAGCCGTCTATATAGATAGCGAACCCTTTAAATTTATTGTATTTACTGTCTTAAGATATAAAATAATAATGAGTTACCACATATCTGAGTATTTCAAATAGAAAATTTGATTTATTAATTAAAAGTTTAGTTTTTCTCTTATTTCAGGGAATTATATTAAATGTTCATTTCCTCTGTGTTTATTGACGTTTCGATCCCGGTAATTTTCTTTTTATAAGTTAACAATGGGATCCTCATCAAAGTTTTAAAAATAGAACAGTCTCAGCCCCGACCACCAGCACATATTTTAAGCTACACATATGTGTATGTTAGCTTAATATGTGTGCTGGTGGACGGTGCTGGGACTGTCGGTGTGTCTCTGGCCTGAGGTATCGAAGCTCTATTTTTAAAACTTTGAAGACGATCCCATTTTTAACTTATAAAAAGGAAAATACCGGGATCGAAACCTCAATAAACATAGAGGAAATGAACAATTAGTAGTTTATTAAATAATTAATAAGTGACCTTATTCCCAATTAAATGGTTATGTTTAAATATATAAATATATATATATATATATATATATATATATATATATATATATATATATATATATATATATATATATATATATATATATATGTATATATGTAAAAGCTAAAGTATACATATGTGTCGCTAGAACGAAGTTGCACTGATATAAGCGGAAAATCGAATGTGAACCTTTTGATTCGTAAATTTTCGTCTTGAAATCGACGGGTATGGAGTAACTGACTATTATTTTATGTCTTAAGGCAGTAATTACTATAAATTTAAAGGGTTAGTAGGTTTCTAGAGATGTTTATAGGCCCTCTTTATATATACCTTTTCCACCTATGCACAACCTTTATCTATCTTATACTGACAGCCATATTATATTCCAGCGGCTATATACTAGGAGATTTTTTTTTTTTTCATCAGCCCTTTGGATATTGTCAATTTATAAGGACAAATCTTATTATGAGATAAGTAACTTTTTTTGTCAGAGGCTTCCGGACTATAAGTGATATTTGGATTCAGAAGGTCAATTGGAATTTCAATTTAAATGTGAGATGTCCTTTGTTTTAAGTCTTTCATAACGGACAATGTCCAATTCCGAGCATTGGTAGAAGGCAATACACTGTGAAACATTGATTTTTTTTTTTTTATAACAAGGGATAAAGATCAACTTTTCTCTTCAGTGCTGAGGAATTAACTTAACTTTAGTCTGTATAATGTATGCATTATTTTTTATTATTCTAAAGGGACTTTGTCCCAGAGTAAAATTATTTTCTGTTCTGTTATATTCTATAATATTGCAAATACTCAACATTATTAAACGATCAAGAGGTTTATTAACGTTGTATATTTCATGCTCTAGAATGATTTAATTATTAATATGAAGATGCTTGTATTGGTATGAATATTTTATTATGAAATACAGGAATAATAATACAGAACGTGGGTTTTTAATTTTCATTCAATTCAATGACCTACGTTTGTTAACTTTCTATTGTTTGATTTTTTTGCGCAATGATGTTGTAGCTCATATAATAGTAGTTAATAATTAATTCTTTCAAATTTCATTACTTCCCTTTTCGTTACAATAATTCTTTAACTCTAGAGAGTTACATAGAGAGAGAGATACAGACATTTTATTTTATATTTATACACCAATATTTCCAGGTTTTATCGTTTTAACTTATATCTCTCGTAGGTGAATCATGTATAAATATTTATTTCCAAGCGAGTGAAAATTATTAAGAGTATTCTAAAAGGCTCCCTTCAGAATACAATTTTCTTCGAACCAACAGGTTTATGCCCTAGTTGACAGCTGCTTGATGTGTAATCTTTCTTCGCGTACTAAGAGACTCACAAAAGGATTTTCAGTCCAAACACCTTTTCTCATATTCGTTATTCATAAGGATTCGTGATGTTTAAACCATCAATCAATCATTTTAGTGTTCCTGAGCATGTTCTGTTATAGTCCTCAGTACAGACGGCTTTTTATCAAATTATCAACATACGTCCAAAAATTTCGTGAATGACTTCACCTTTTCGTCACTAACAAATTTCTTATGTACGGAAATTAGGCATTTTCAGTCTGGAGGTGAGTAAACTTGGTATTTTTAATGTGGTACTGAAAACTCATGTTTGCTTTATATTTGAATCTTAAGATAATATGATCGAAAGTCAAGAAAAAAGGGTGCCTTACAAAAATATTGGGTTATTTGGTGTAACTCCCATCCCCGACATGTCAAAATAACGATGGCCAAACGCCCCGATATTGTGGTGAGATACTTGTTTTTGTGATGAAATCATATCACGATTCAAGTGGAAAGCAAATGTGTTTTCATCAGTTTTTAGTAATTGCTTAGTATTAGTATTTCTGAAAATATTCCCTGATAATGATTTTTTAGGTTACGTTAAGAAGAACCCAATCACAAAATTTTCGATGGATTTTAACATTTGATAAAAATAAGTAGGTATCGCGGGATATTAATAGAGACTTCTTAAAAGTTGCACATAAATTTACTATTTATGAAACATTTTTTATTTTAAATGTCGATACCCTCTTAGTTTGAGCAGTTTTTTTTTTTTTTAAACAAACATATTCCACTATAAAAGAAAAACTGCTCTTTGGCCCTAATATTCGGAATGAACTATGAAAATCAAAAATAGCTGCCTAACAGATATTTTTAGACTACTATTCAAATATTTATTTTGGATCCAGTAACTTGCAAAACACAAGAAAAGTAAGTTTAAAGCTGTTCGTCGGAAATATTTATTTTGGTCCCACGCCTCTGAAATCGACGTCGTAAAAAAGCAGCAATCCAGTGAGCGGAAAGTTTACAATGATATCGTACCTACATTTTTTTTGTAAAGCTTCGAAAGCTCTAATTCTAACAAAGATGTAATATTGCTGGAATATGTGCTACAGTTCGAAATATTATCATAGATATATCGTTTTATTTATGTATTTCTTTATTATTTATTTATGCATTTTCTATATCCAACATGAGATTCTGTTACCACTAAATAATTTTTATGATTCCTTTATTTTCTGTATTTAATCATAGTGAAACCATTGGATTCATGGACAGTCATGGTGACTCTATAATAATGATAAGACGTGTACTTGATGTAAATGTCTTAATGTATATATATTAACTTTAAAACGTAAATTATATATATATACATACACATATATAGGTATTTTATTTTTTACATTCCTCAATTTGTATACATATATATCTTTTCCTATCTTAATCTCCGTGCTTGTTTATAGTTTACAATAACATTGCGTAATTTATAACATACGTAAATAATTTATATCCTTTTAATTCGTTTTTTTTTCTTTTTGTCGCAATTGTTTTCTTATAAACTTAATTTATTTTATTTCTTTTATTTGCTGTTATTTAACGTCGCATCGACTGCCAAGGTCATTAGCGACGATCGTTCTTCTTAAATATAACTTATCAATTTTATTTTTCGGATGTACTTCAGCGTTTTTTCAATACCAGTGTTTTCCTTGTACGGTGCCTTGTCTTCAATTTGGAGTTCGATTTGCTGTTTCCGGAACTTTTTGCACTGGAATATGTGTTCAACTGTCAGATTAGCATTTTCACATGCCTCACATGTTGGTCGATGTAAGCCAAGAAGTAGGTGGAGATGGGTCAGTTTGGTATGTCCTATTCTGAGCCTGCTTATTATAGAGCATTCTTTTGATGTCAGGTGTTTTGGAGGATACCAAGCTCGATTGTCGTCTTTGGTCAGATGAAGGTGATTGCGCGGCAGTAATCTCCACTGTGCATTCCAACTCTCGTTCACTTTCTTTGAAATTTCTCTTCTCCATTCGTTGAGAAACATCGATCCTAAAACAGGTGAATCTGTGCTTCTGGCGGCTTCCTTTGCTCCTTCATCGGCTCGTTCATTGCCGATTATGCCAATGTGTGAGGGTACCCAAAACAATATTATTTTTTGACTATTTTTATTTAGTTTCAAGTTCATTAGCTGAATTTTTTTGTGCAATGTGTTACATGTCCATGCATTTTGCAGTCCCTTGATTACAGATAAGGAATCGGTCACAATTACAGATTTCTCAATATTGGTGTCGATTACGTATTCAAATGCCTTGAGAATCGCCCACGTTTCACTTGTAAAAATTTAATTATTGTTATTTAATTTCCATTTTATTATATTGTTTTGGGTTACTATACAGCATCCTACACCTTTCTCTGATTTTGAACCGTCCGTAAAAATTATGTCATGATTATGGAATAATTTATGGACAATTTCATGATAACTTAATTGATAACTTAATTTAATGGCCCTTCCTAATTGTATTTAATAAAATTGAGTTTTTGTAAAAATTTTAACAAAAAAATCTTCAAATGGTGTAACCAGACGAAACAGAACTGTACAAAGTTAATTGTTTTATGTATTGATTCTGGATCTCTGACCAATTTAAGATCTTTACCTTTTTAATTAGAAAAGGAGGAAGTTTAAGACGAGACTTGCTTTAAAAAGTCTTACAATTAGACTAATTTTCTTTGTCCGCGTCCCATATCTAGAGTCTCCTTTAAAAAGAGGTTTCAAAAGCATTGTTTCTGTTTGCTCCAGTTCCGTTAATTGGAAATTATCCTGTAAATAGAAACGTCCCTTAAAAGAGAAAGATCTTTATGAAGAATGTGGCCTGAAAATATCTTATGACATAGGCTTAAATGTAAGAATTAAATAAATAGATTTTATTAATTATTAGCCTATAGATACCAAACTATGGGCTTAATATAATCCATCATCCATTTAGATTTACGATAGTGTTAGATCTTAACGGCATTGGTACCGTTGGAACCGGGAGGAATGGTCAATGGGACCGTGGAAGAATAATGTACCCAGGACACGGATCCCATCTTAAAGAGGCCCAATCCTATCTTTCACCAAGTCCCACATATCTCTCTCCCTGATAGAAATGTTTCCTCTTCGTGATTTACGCGTCTTGGCGTTTCTTTCCGGATTTGCTACGTTTCAGATAAAATTGTCAATTTCCTTTTTGTATCCCAGTAATATTTTGATAAATAGTCGCTAAAAATAGATACCTTATGTGTAACGGAAAATATCTCGGTTGGGTCCTAAGTCTAGTAAGAATTCACCAAAATTTATTATTCCTATGGCTGCTCTTTACAATCGTATAACTTTACAGGCTACGTCAACTTCCAGGTTTTCTTTTAGCATAATATCATTATTTTATTATTCATATTGAAAATACGTAACATTATTCCTTTTTTCTCCCTTTGATTTATTAATTTTAATTATATTATTGATTTTTTTTATAAGAGGACCTTTAAAAATCGTACACAGTTAACTGTATACACGGGCGGATCTAAGGGGGAGGAGGCTTCCGGGCTGAAGCCTCTCTCCCAAAATATATAACCATGTGTTACGGACATTTAAAAAAAAAAAAAATACCTCCTAAAGTATTATTATTCGTGTAATTACATTTAAAAGGACTTTAGGAATCACTTAAACACCATTTCATACAGATAGTTAGTTTCTTTCTGTTTTTCCAAACTAATTATCGTTATTTTTATGAAAAAAAAGCTTTCGGGCTGAACCCTCTCCCAAAATTAAATCCTGGATCCGCTAGTGACTGTATACACTATGGGCAGGGATGCCCATTCCCCAAGGTCAATGGAACATGAATCTTTTCCCAAACTTTCTAAGATATTTGTTTGTTCTCCTCTTCTTAAAAACAGTACAAACAAGTAGAATTTAGAAGTTTGTAGATTATGTACAACTACATATCCTACAATTTGTTTTACGCACTTACACTTGTGTTTTGATTTAAATCTTTTTATATCGAAAATTCATTATTTCATCCAAATGCGCCTCCCTCAAAAATTCAAAATGTATTTCCCACAAAGATTTTGATGCTTGCGCCATGAAACTCCCTTTTGGGCACCCTTGACCATGAATTGCTAGATTTTGAATTTTTGAGGGAAGCTCCTTTCGAAGGTTATGACTTTTATTTCGAAGGTTATGACTTATCAAAATGATTTCAAACCAAAAGACTGGGATAAGAATGATACATACTACAGGATATATATAATCCACGATAATGAAAATCTACATTTTTAAATTTTACTTTAGCTTGCACTGTTTGTAAGAGAAAGAGAAAAATAAAATATCTTGGGAGTGGTGGGAGAAGGTTCATGGGCAATCAATCTTTGATGGGATTCGGATACGAATAGATATGAAAAAAAAGTATTACAGCCATTTCAGTCAATTTTAAACATCATTTGTTTAAAATGGTTCTTTTCATTTATCTAGTTATTTTATTAATTATTAATATTCATTAAAAAATATTTTCAATACCATTTTATTTTATTTAAAATATGTATATAAAAAACGTGTACCGCTACAACCCATGAAGGGCCTTGGGTTCAGTAATATTTAGAGAAAGTAATGTTTCTTGGCCAAAGGTTGTGCAAGGCGATTTGACCGAGATCACGCTCAACCGCCCGTGTTTCTCACTTAATCAATTATTTAATTAAGGATACCTACTTTATAGAGCCTGTATGTGAGCCAGGAGGGTCCCCGAACCCAGGGTAGATGTCGATTGATAAAACGGAATAAATATTTTTTCTGCCATCAGCCGGGATTCGATCCTGGGTCCTTGAGCATTGGAAGCTCAGGAGTCTACTACTGAGCTACCCTGCTCCCCTCAAATGTATTTGAAACATTAAAAAAAAAAAATCATAAATTCACTCATACTTGGTGTCAACTGTAAATATGAGACGACTTCAAGGTTATTCAATAAATTAATTACGAATACTTAATGAGGCATAAACTTAATTTTTCAATCGGTTCCATTTCTATAAATCCCTGGTAGTCACAACAGTTTTACACAACATTAAATTAAAAAAGGTGGCGTAGGGGACTTGGGGTTGATCTAGTTCAATCGAAAGGGAATTAAATTCTAATGGGAGTGGTAAAACGATCCCTGCCCTTTAAATCTTAAATAAAAGGTCTAATTGCCCGCTGGATGCGGAAAGGGCTGATTCCATTTCCTTCCATTCGAGCTCAAAAGGGCAGGTCGGTTGACATTCGAAGGATTTGTCGGTTCGGGTTTTAGAAAACATTTCAGAGAATCCAACCGTACTATCGTTACGGCTCACGGAAACTTCTAACGGAATTATCTATTCATTATTATGAAAAAAAAAAATCTTTTCTCATCAAAATTTTGCTAATAAAAAATAACGAATTCAACAATATCAAACTTTAAGTTCATAAAATATTCATTACAGATAATGTATTCTTTATCGAGAAAGAATACATTATGTGTAATGAATATTCCATCCAATGAATAAGTATATCAAACAAAAAAGAGAACAGTATTCAGTGACACTTGGTAAAGCAATTCAGAACAATTTAAAATTTAATACAGAATAATTTAATTATAATTAAAATTATGTCCAATTTGTTTAATTACTAATTAAATCTCAGAAATCGTTTCAGTTTAATTAAATTCTAGAAATGTCTCAGTTCCATGAAAGAAAGGAAACAGGAGGAATGAAGCAAGGATAGAAAATAGAAGGGCTTTTAATATTTATTATAATTAAAATTAAATTCTTTTCTCCAATTAATTAAACTGTTCAATTTAGTTAAAATTATTTTTTTTTGCGATGGAGTGGTTTTATGCTTCAATTCATAATTGAAAAGGAAGAATATTATATTAAAAAAGAAATTATGAATGTTAATTAAAATTAGTTATATATTTACTATGCTTAAGTTAGAGTAATTGTTTGATTATTTTATTGAAGACGGTATTAAATCATATTAAATATATCAATGTTATCATCGAGACATTTCAAAGCATCTAAGTACTCATTAATAATGACTCCCATGAAAAAAAATGTTTTTTTTTTCATATGAATCAAAGAGCTTGAAAATGTTTCCTCCTCCTTACACAGGCGACTAACATTATTAACTGTCTAAGCTGTGAGCCAGTTGAAGTATTCTGGGACTAATTATTGTTAATGAGCTTTCTACAAAACTCCAGGAATCGAGATATAAGACGAATTCTTAATAAATATTTACTCAGAAAACGTGGAAGGGAATTCTTCGAAATATAACTTTGTTTTATTTAATTTAATAAATGTCACGTTTCATTAAATAGAACAACTAAATCAAGCGTTTATTTTTAAGGTTAATTTTTTATTTATTATTTAGAATTATGCTGTACAGAATAATGATCAATAATATCTCTCTATTATATAAAAAAGTTTTTGTGATTTTCATCTCTTATTTTATTTTAGTATTAGGAGAGTAGGAAGATTACAGGAGCTCAACTTTTCAGCTCTGCTATGGTGATTATTTTACAAATTACACAGCTGTTTATTTAATAACATATGTGTTGAGCTCCTGTAATCTTCTATTATCCTAATACAAAATAAAAATTGTATACTAAAAATTTGTATGGGAAATGTTATTCTTCTGGAGGTGGTAGTTTGATGTTACCTAGGCGACAGCAGTTATTTTTCCTGAATGAAATTTGGCAAACCAATTTTGACAGGTGCGCTCGGTTAAGACATCATCCCCATAAACACCGCAATTTTTTTTATGAGCTTCTGCAGCACGCTTACCTTTTTTAAAATAATACAACAAAATATGCCGATAATGAATTATATTTTCTTCCATATCCACAGTGCAATAGCAAACAGAATAGTAAGCTAGTTTCAACAAGAGTTAACAGATAGTTTTTGACATATTACAGACAGGATGTGACCTCCCTAGTACATTATATTTTCATTGAGCAATTCTATTTTTATTTTAATCAATTTATTAATTTACATAATTAGTCTATTTAATGTGTGTTTTCGATAAATTACATAAATGATGTGATTTTAACTGACAACAGTTCACCCGCTTATTGTCAACTTAATGACAGGTGGGGATTTAAACGTGGAAAAATTAAAACAAATTATAACTTAAATTTTTTTACATGGTTATTAAGATTTAGAAAAACGCAGATTGTGATTTATTTGTAATATATTAACAAAATTATATATACACTTGTTTTTTTAAATTTAATTTGGAAGTTGTTAACGTCAGTATTCATATTTTATTTCCTTATTACCGAAGACATTGTATTCATGCGGTAGGGTAATTTTTTTTTTTACTCAGAATAGATATTTTTCACTTGTATTATACGTTTTTAGGCGTCAAGGAACAAATTTGTCTGTACCGTCTGTCTGTAAGCAGATAAATGTTTCATGATAAGTGTTTCATGAAATTCTATTCACTAATTTCGCATAAGGACGCGTCAATATTATCTTATTCACGCAAATATTTCAAAAGAGCCAATATTCAATTTGACCAAAAGTAGAAGCAAAATTATATATCAGTGAAAAATGATACTGCGTCAATTCAATCCAACTCCATCAACTACTTCCTTTTCCATATGCTCAAATTTATTTCCCTTGATATTCCTCTATCTCAAAAACCGGACTTTTATTCGGCCCAAAGTTAGAGAGGAGTTACTGTCAAATATGAATGAAGACCAGTAACTGAGCATTATATATATATATATATATATATATATATAACTTATCTTGCCCTATGTCATTTCTTTATTGACTCCTCAGTAGCTTATTCAAAATTTATAAAGGGACTGTAATATTAAGTTTCTGGTAAAACTTCTTTGGGGAACTTTAAGGAAATCTTCTTACTATGTTGCGGAAAAGCCCCATTGAGCCGGGCCATAGTTTGGAGCTGTGTACTGAATAAATTATGAAGTTAAATATAAAAAAATATACCGGAGAAGATGAATAAAATATTAGGTCGAACGTCTTAATATTTCTTTTTCTAATTACAAGGATAAAAAAAAATTGATTTACATGTTTCGTTATGATTAAGTTATAGATGATTATCAGTTCTAATAATATCAATCATAATAATTTTATGTTTACAATTGTTCTTGCTAATAGCCTATTACTCACCTTACTACTTCTAAATTATCCTCAGGGTTCTCGATAGTCATTTATCTTCTTAAACAATATGTTTCTAATTGTTGTATTTATCTATAATAATTTGTTTTGTTTTTCTAACTATAAAAATGTATTTGCGCCTGTCAACTTTTTGTTGATAATCGACAAAAGCACTGGAGATACAGGGGATAATGGTACAGCGTGAGAAAGGACAGTACTCAGCCGCACCTCATCCCT